TTTGATGTTAAACTTTGATTCTGAAAATAAATGACTCCATTCATTTGATGGGTCAAAGGTAATGACGTCTCTCGTTCGCATTTCTGTTAAATTCAATGCACGGCATTACACAGTCAGAAAAATGAAGAACTCGTGAAAAGTATGCATAAATATATACACATATATTTGTCATACAACAAGTGACACGTACCCACGTGACTCACTACAATTCTATAAAGAATTCTGGAATATCCTGGCACCACTATTTCACAAAATGCTACAAGAAACTGAGAAAAGTAACAGTCTTCCAAAAAATATAAATTCTGCCAACATTAGTCTCCTGTTAAAACCAGGCAAAGATCCTGTATTACCTACCAGTTATCGTCCAATATCTCTTATCAACGTTGATCTTAAAATAATTTGTAAAGCCCTCTCAAAAAGATTAGAAAAGGTAACTCCTCTAATAATACATCCAGACCAAACTAGTTTTATAAAAGGGAGACATTCATCCACAAATTCACGCAGATTATTTAATTTAATAGATTATTCTTACAGTAAAAATATTGAAACTGCAATATTCTCTCTAGATGCAGAAAAAGCCTTCGATAGAGTTAACTGGAAATTTTTATTTGCAGCCTTACATAAATTTGGTTTTGGAAATTATTTCATAAACTTTAAAAATATTATACACTTCCCCATCAGCATGCATTAGGACAAACAATCAAATATCTGCTAGTTTTGCTCTGCAAAGGGAAACCAGGCAGGGATGTCCACTCTCCCCCTCACTGTTTGCTATTTTCATCGAACCGCTAGCCGCAGCAATCAGGCAAACTACAGATATTAAAGGCATAAAATGCAAGAACATAGAGCACAAAATCAGTCTATATGCTGATGATGTGCTGCTCTTCCTCCGGCATTCACAAACCTCCATCTCTCAGGTTATTGGACTGATAAACTCCTTCTCAAAAGTGTCAGATTACTCTATAAACTGGCTAAAATCCACAGTTCTACCAATTAATTGCTCTTTCAACAATTCACTTACTACACAACTGCAATCGGGGAATATTACATATTTGGGTATCAAAGTTTCGCCTAAATTAGCAGATTTAACAAAACTAAACCACACCCCACTTTTAAAGAAAATTGAGGATGATCTGGCTAGATGGAAATCTTTACCCATATCTCTCATGGGAAGGATCGCATCAATAAAAATGATGGTTTTGCCTAGAATAAATTATTTATTCTCAATGATCCCAAATAAACCATCATCTGACTGGTTTAGATCCCTGGACCCCTCTATTTCTAAATTTCTGTTGAAAGATAAACGCCCTTGTATTAGATTAAAAACACTACAGAAATCCAAAGATAAAGGAGGACTAGAATTACCCAACTTTTATTATTATTTTCTAGCCAACAGGCTGGAATACATCTCAAAATGGATAAGACACACACCCCTTGATGAACCCTGGCTAGACGTAGAACAGACACTTTGCAATAATATAATGATCTCAGACCTTCCATTCATTAGCTCAAACATAAAACGACAGGAATGCTTTAAAAGCATCAATATCAGCTCCTCTCTGACAGCTTGGTGGAAGTTTCTTAAAATGACAGAGTCCTCACTAATTCCATGCAGACATACACCCATCTGGAATGACCCTGACATCCTACAACAGAATAATATGATAAACTTCCCAGGTTGGAGGTGTAAAGGAATTTAATATTTGGAACATATATATGAAGAAGTGGGGTTTGGTGGCCTCGCTGGTTGGGGGGCTGGGTGTTGGGCTGGGAATCGGGTTGGGGCGTCTGGACGGTTTCGGGATGGGGCTGGGTTGCTGGCCCTGGTTCTGGTTGGTCCTCGGGGGCTATGTGCCGGTCCGTGGCCTTGATCCCTGGTGGTGCGGCTGCCACCTCCTCCTAGGTATCTCTGTTAGAGCCTCTGTCCCCTGGTGGATCTCGGAGAGTGGGGGTGCCTATTGGGGTCAGTGGGGGAGCTGGTCCCCTGGGGGGGCATTGCCACCTCAGTTCACCTCCCCATCCCGACGTCCTCCTCCGCCCACTCCACCACACCACCACTCAAACAGGGTTTTGGGGTTCAGGTGCACTACTGAGCTACGGGGAGAATCATCCATCTCCGTGGCTGGTGGGGTCCTGGGCCCTAATTTTAATATACAACCTAGACACTCACTTAACACTCTCACGACACATGCATATATAGGATCTGGAGTGGGCACATGATCGCACTTAGGTGGTGGGATGTACTACCATTTCCACCTCCCCGGACCTGTGCCCACTCTCATATGTAGCATGTAGACATTTAGGGTTCTGGGCGGAGATGAGGGGTGAACGGGCGCCGCCTGCTCTCTGGGCAAGAGGTGGGTCTGTGCCAGTCGCCACCTCATCCCCCCATTTTAAACGTACTGTATAACAACATCCACCATATTCGAGTGGGAGGAAGAGGAAGTGGGTCTGTTCATAATTTATTTATGCATATATAGATTTATTTATTTATTTGTTTATTTTTTTCCCCCTTTCACAAACACCTCCTTTCTCCGTGTGACACTAGGGGTCGGGGATGGAGGGGGGGGGGCGCATTGTTGGGGTCTGGGCTGTGGGTGGGCTTTGGGCCTTGGGGGCGGTCAGTGATGGGGCCGGTGCTTCGGTTCCTCCTGGGCTGTTCCGATTCTTTTAATCTAGGTTCCTGGTTGCGATGGCCGGCACTTTGACCGGGGTGGCTGCCGGCTTTCGGCGGGGGGTCAGCTATGGTAGTGTACGTGTGGTCATTGGTGGTGTAGGGTGGCGGTTGGGGGCGTGGCTTCGCCTCATCCGGGCACTGGCTGGTCTTCCTGTGTGGCATTTGCGGTGGTGGTGCTGTGTGTGTGGGGGGGGGGTGCATGGGTGGCGTGCTGGGGCGTCTCCGGGCCTATGGTGCGGAGCTCTTGATGTGAGAGCCGGCCCTCCTCAGCTGCGGCTCCCTGCTGCTCTGCCCCTTGGGCTGGGGCCGGCCTGTGGTCGCTGTCAGGTAGATGGTGCATATCTGTGTGTGCCTGTTGGTTACTCAGGTTGGGTTTTTGGTGGTCCCCCCTCTCTTGGATCAATTTGGGCCCCATGTTTGGTGTGGGGCCCACTCCCCCCCGGCCGTGCCCCCCTTTGGCGGGGGACCCCCTTGCCGCCGGTACATTGATGGCTCTCTGTGTCTGGGCTGGGTGGTGGGGTGCACGTCGGTCCGCCCTGGTTGCTGCCTGGCGGGGCCTGGGTGCCCTGGCTCTGTCGGGGCTCTGCTGGGGGGTGGTATGGCCTCGGGGCTTGGGGCTCGGTGTC